AAAATCAATTTTACATTCAAAATATCACATCACCACCTATTTATGTCACATCATACAATTATTTCAATTAAAAAAAAATCCCAACTCAAAATTCAAACTCCCAAACAAACACATAATTTGTTAAAATTATAATTATATTGATGGGAGGCTATATATGTATAATTTTAGTAAATATAGATAAACATCATCCAATAAGGAATAACATAATGATGCGGGATGAATTTGTAATTATAAGATCATGGATTCAGACCTAGTTTGAAGTTTGGCGAGCCACGCGGGCGTCTCCGGCGGCGGAGGATTAAAACAGTGAAAAATTTTCACTTATGAGACTAGTTTGCGACACTGCTTACTAGACTAAAATAATAAGACAGGACTAAAAAAATAATTTATCATTATCATTATCATTATTATTATTATTATTATTATTATTATTATTATTTAGAAGAGAGAAAACTGGGCTCACTTCTAGAGGGAAGCCCACTAGATATTTAAATCCTTCAAAGTAGGCTACAATTAAAGCTCTATGCAAGCCCAGCCCAAAATCATTATTGAAAGAGAAAGCCTTATTATTATTATTATTATTATTATTATTATTATTATTATTATTATTATTTATTTTTTTAATGATCAGATGTGATTCATTATCATTTTAAAATTATAGAAAGTTTTTGTATGGAGTTATTCCAATAATTTAAAAATTTTGACAGAATTAATCCTCCAGACATCCAATTTGTTTGAAAGTTGTTTAATACTTACAGTAAATGTAAATTAATATTGTGTAATACATAAATAATATTTATTTATATATTAAAAAGACAAAATTGCATATAATTGCTCTATAGTTTGAAACAAGTTGAAATCATAGTTCTCTGTGATTTTATAAATTGCATACCGTTATCTTATATTTTGAAAAAATATTGCATAAAATTTAAATATTACACGAGACTTTTTTTGTAATTTTAAAAATATTACTCGGAAATCGATCCATAAAAAGAGAATTTTGTGCAAGGGTTTGGATGAAATTAGCACCCATGCAAAAAATAATTATGTTAATATATTTTATAAAATACTATATACTTAATATAATTATATATAATAAATTTTACACTAATCAGGATGGTGCTGATTTAAAAACATCAGTCATTCTTTTCGAATATATATCAATTAAGTTTGTATTCAATTGTATATATAATCAATTGTATATATAATTATACATTTTAATCATATTTTAAATTTTAATTTTTACAATTTTTTGTAACCTTAATTAAACTATTTAGTTATTTTTAATTTAATTATAATTAGTTTTACTAATACACTTTTTAAAAACTTACTAATTATACTTTACCTAAATTTTCGAATCTTGATGTAAAATTTTTGAATTAACACAGTTATATAATATGATAAAACTAATATTAATTTAATATTTTGAATGTAAAATTAATTTTTAGTATAATATAAAATATAAAAAATAAATATTTAATTTAATATTTTTGGGAGAAAATATCTGTATCAATAACATATAATTTCCAAAATCTTTCAAACAAACACACCCAATTTACTTTAGACTTTAAGACAAATCAAATATGATTATGTAAAAAAAAATAATACTCCTTCCGCGTAACCAGTAAATTTTTTATTTAATATTTTGCATGCGGATTAAGGTAAATTATTATCTATTTTACTCATTGATATTAAAATAAAAATAATGTTAAAAGTAAAAAATACGAGTATTTTGATAATTAGTTGAAAACTATAAAAGAAAATGGTAATATGAAGTATTCATTTAGACAGAGTAAAATAGTAGAATAAAAAATTTACTAATAGACGGGGGAAATATTTCGGTAAAGATATAGTTAACGTATGCAATAATAATAAGAAAAAACTCCATGAAATATTAGGTTTGTTTACTTTTTATTTTCAGATGAATATATATTTTTTAAATTTTATTTTTTATGTTAAGTATAAGAAATAGTATTAGTAATATAAAAAATAATATTTTGTATTGCATTATTGATTTTTTGTGAATCGATAAAATATATGTTATATATATATTATGTTAACGAGTGTATATTGTGTTATTAAAGTAATATTTATTTGAGAATTTTTCACCCAAAATTTTATGTGAACAAACTCATTACATATTTTTTTACATAAATAAATTAAATTAGATGCAATTATACATAATTAAAGAATACATTGTATATACTTTTTAAATTATTTATTAATTTTTTACTAATCAATTTTTTTATTTTTATTGTATATACATTTTCTCACTTTTTGGTTTTTTAATATAATATTTTATAAATTTTTCAATTTTATGGATTATATTCCAACTTTGAGTATTTTGATTCCAAAAAAAAATTATACATAAAATTACGATAAATTTTAATATATAGAAATTTTATTTTTATTATAGTAGTTTCATTCTTATTGTGAATGTAATTTTTAATTAATTAATTATTTTTTTCTATAAATTAATTTTATTATTATTATTGGGTATGTTATTTTTAAAATTGATTTCATTCGAGTGATATATTATATATAAATTATAATTATTATATATAAAAAATATTAAATCATTATATAATTTAATACTTCATCCGTCTCATATCTATTTATTCATTTGTTTTTTGCACGGAGTTTTAAAAATATTAGTATTATTGGAAATGTAATATAAATAAAAATAAAAAGATTAAATTAACCTTATTAGTATTGTATGATATAAATATAATGACATTTGTGTAATATATTATAAATTGGAAGAGTATTTGTAATGTTAATTAGATAGTACACTTATTAAAAAAAGAAATATTATTATTATATTGGAATGTAATAGAATTAAAAGTAAAAAGACTAAATTAACCTTATTAGTATTGTATGATATAAATATAATAGCGTTCGCGTAATATATTGTAAATTGGAAATATATTTGTAATGTTAATTAAATAATATAGTTACTAAAAAAATAGATATTTTGTTATGAGACATACCAAAATAAAAAAATGGATAAATTATTAAGAGATAGATGAAATATAAAAATAATTTGTGCATGACACTGGTTATATGCTAATATATATATATTTATTTATTTATTTTCATCCAAAATTAATGAATAAAAATCATAATATTGTTGTCGTTCCAAACTCAACTTCTACGATCGATTTAATTTGTCCGGTCGGAATAATTATATATTTTGAATAATTATATATTTTAGGAAAACAAAACCAAAGTGATATGAAACATAACATCAAATTTTTATAAATTTAAAATGACTATTCAAATTTTATTATAAATATAAGTTGTTAAAAAAAAAAAAGAAACAATTAAAATTAAATATATCAAAAATCATAAGAATCTCAATTTGAATCTTTTTATTTTTGTCATTTCTTTGTAACAATAATATATTTTAAATATTCAGTAACTAAAAATTATTATTTTTTATAACTATTTTAAGTATTTTTTTAATAAAAATTTCTCAATATGGATAATCTAAAATAAAAAAATAATAAAAATTACGATTAAGTCTAATTTAAAGGATATATTTAGAGCTTCAATGCCACGTTTTGGCAGCATTTTGCGTCTAGGCTCTGTTTGGAGTATACAAACTAAATTTTACTATTCATTAAAATTTTATAAATATGTATATATATATATTTTTAAAAATATTAATTTAAATTAATATTTATTTTTCATATTATATTAAAATTTAATATTTTATTCAAAATATTAAATCAATATATTACTACATCATATCAAATAATTATTCTCTTTAAAGAATTTGTTTATATAATCTTAAACTCAATTCTTAAATCCTGATTAAGGGTGTGTTTGTTTGGGGGTTTGAATTTAGAGTTGAGATTTGAATAATAAAAATTTTGAATTTGAATAGTTGTATGATGTGATATAAATAAGTGTTGATGTGATGTTTTAAATGTAAAATTGATTTTTAGTATAATATAAAATATAAAAAATAAGTATTTAATTTAATATTTTTGAAAAAAAAATAAAATAAGTAGTGTATTTAAAATCCAATCCCCGAACAAACACACCAGCCCTATCGTAGGTCAAAATATATAACAATAATATTCAATTATATAAAAATAAAAAATAAAAAATAAAAACAATTGTTTGGCTTAATTATTTGAATTTGAATTTAAATTAAAATGTTTTATTTAAATAATATTTAACATAATACTCCCTCCGTTTGGCTCTAATGTCTCGTTTACTTTTTATAATTGATATTTGAATATTAATTATTATATAAAAACGCAGTACAATTAAGAAAATTGCAAAAATAATTCTATTTGTGTCTTATAACACTATTATAATAACATTGGGGCAAAAAATTATACAAATATACTATAATAGTATTTTTTTATAACACTATGTATGTTGAATAATAACAGTTTTGATTTATCGTTTAAATTTTTTTAAATATTAATCTAATATTTTATTAAAAAATAATACTTCCTCTATTTGCCTCTAAAGGTACAATTACCTTATTTACCATTAAAAATATCTTTATATTTGTATTATTTTTTTTTATAAATGTCTTTCTATTAGTATTATAAGACATTAATAAAAATATTTTTATAATTTTTTCTTAATTTGTACTATATATTTAAGTAAACGAGACCCTTGTAATGGAATGAAATTAGTATATTTTTATTAAAAAACTAAATATTAAACAACAATAATTTTTTATTCAAAACAAAAACCAAACAACAGAAACACCAGTGATAAATATTAGTATTATTTTTAAACACACAAAATAACAAACACTACAAACTAACAGCGAGTGGCCGGCGGCTCCGCCGTCTCCAACCGCCCTACATTGGCGGCAGAGCATACACGTGTCTACTTGCCCCGCCGTAATCTCCGGTAGGGTTCCACGTGTCACGCTCTCATTCAATCCCCAATTTCATATAAATATATACATACATTTCAATACACACCAATTCATTCTCATTACATTCACTCAAAAATTTCACTCACTCACACTCACATATTTAATTTCACCTAATTATTATTATTATTAATTATTAATTTATTATTTTTTAGTAATATTAACCAATTATATATATATATATATATTTCACTATCTTGCAAACTAGCCATGGCACCAATGCTCCAAGATAGTGAGAGCTCGATCAACGGCCGTCGATTGCCATCTCTTAAGATCAATAGAGATTCACACGTCATTCAAAAGCCGCCGTCCTCGTTGCCATCGTCGGCGAAGCGCCAACCGGTAATTATATACACAAAATCACCGAAAGTGATTCACGCGCAATCTCGCGATTTTAGGGCTTTGGTTCAAAAGCTCACCGGATACAGGCCGTCGGATTTGGAATCCGATTTGGAAGCCGCAGACTCGAGTAAAGATGGGAATTCGTCGAATCCAGAGAAGGACAAAATTGATGTTTTTAGATCGGAGCAAAATGAATCTTGCTCGATCCTGACCACAACGGCCGCCGTGGAGATCAAGCAAGACAAATCCAACATTTCTTCGACCTACACGGCGCCGTCGTCGTACTTGATTGATCCGATGATGTTCGCGTCTGATTCGAGCGATTTTTTTTGTCCTTCTATTAGTAATTCGATGTTTTCATTTTCCGGCCCGGAGAATTCGTTGTCTCCGACGATGATGGATTATGTAGACGGATGTAATGAGCACAATTAATTTAGGGTTCGTCGATACATTTTTTGTATGGCATTTCGATTTAGATTTTAGGGTTTTGGAAAGAGATAAATCGGATGGATGGAGGGAATAATTATTTAGTTAGATTTTAAGGGCGAAATGTCATATAAAGAGGAGATAATATCCAATTTTGCAGATAATAAACTTTGTTTATTTGAGTGTTTTTTTTTTTTTTTTTTTTTTTTTTTTGTTTTTCATACTTTGGCTCTATCAATGAGATAAATGATCTTGAACCGGCTAACAACAGCAGCAATATGAGCAATTGATCAAAGTCAGCAATATGAGCAATTGATAAAGTTTTTATTTCATTCGTATCTTTTAATTTGATCCTATTATTATTGGATATATCAAAATATAATGCAAATTTTATTCTATATTTTTCACTATTTACTATTTTTGTATGTCACACTTAAAAATATTTATTTTTTAATACGATAAAAGTGCTTTATAAACAAATATTATAATACTTCTACTTTTATAACCGTGAGGTCATAGATTTAAACTCTACCTCCAGGTCACCTGCCACGTGTGCACAGACACTACTACCTCTGTCTTATCCCATCACTAAGTATATTTTCCATTGAGAACCTTATCTATGGGTGCAATTTCGGGCCGATCCAGATTTTTTGGACCAACTCGACCCAATCCGTTCTAATATGTGCCAGGACAAGCCCAACCCGGTCATTTCAAACTATCGGGCCAACCCAAGTTGTAATTTTTTTTTAAAGTTATTTTTTAAATCATTCTAAAGCAATTTAATACTAACATTTTTAATAATGATAATTGAACCTGTAACCTAAAACTATTATTTTATTTTTAACGTACATTTATTTTTCATATATTTATAGTATTATTTATTCAAAAATTTATTTAATAAAAAATACGGGCCAGATCAAGCACGGCCCAGTTTTTTTTTTTTCGTGTTGGGCTAGGCACGGCATGAAAAATTTTTTAGACCCAAACATAATTTTATTCGTGCCAAATTTGAATTGAGATTTTGGGTTGTGGCTATTTTTGCCGCTTCTAACTTTATCCAATATTGAGGATGCCAACCGCTAGACCTAAAAGGTCTTGGCTCAAGTCATAGCCAATGAGTGAGGGCCGAGGATTATGAGTGTTTGTGATTAGAGAAAAGGAGAGTCCCGAAAATGATGGATCCAACCTCTAAATTTCAACTCCTTCGAATTTATTGATATTTATATCTTCTATACTGAAAATATGTCACGATTATATAATATTGTATCAATAAAGTATTACCAGTCTTCTTTGCCACACATCATTTGTTTAGTACGACTTTTTCTAGCAAAATTTGTGGTCTATTACATTCGATCGAAGATTTATTCAATATGCACTCAAAGGGTAACGATTACAAATTTCAAAAGTACTAACTAAAAAGGTGCTCAAACGGATATTTTGGTTTGGATCGGATTTTCGGATTTCGGATATTTTGATCACCCCCAATATTACATTTTTCTCCTCCCGACTTTGTAGCTGGACCCTTGGGTCGATGAATGACATAGCATTTGGAAAAAGAGTACACTACTAGAAAATTATGGGATTGTTGTGGAAAATTTGTCGCGAAATGATCTATTGTCACAACTTTTATTGAAAATTTAATAAAAATTATATATAAATTGATTGTCGCATATTTCTCCAACAATAGTTGTTACAATAATTAATTTTTCTTATTTGTCGCTTGGCCTATTTTGAAAAACTAAGGACTGAGCTGGCCTATTAGCCAATAATAAAAAAATTATAGCATGACTCTGGCCTATTTTTAAGCCTATGTAGCCTACGAGTCTATTTAAAAGTCTATATAATAATTAATTTTTTATTTTTTAAAATTTAATATTAGTAAAAAAAATATAAATGCAATTATTATTTTATGTATATATAATTATAGTTACAACTAATCAATTTTATATTTGGTTATTATCACTAAATTAATTTTTTTTAATATAAATATATAATAATTTTATATATTAAATTAGAATTATATATATAAATAGGCTGGCCTGATAGGCCTAAAAAGCTTTTCGTAAAGTCTAAGTCTATTCTAATTAATTAAATAGGCTTTAAAATAAGCCTATATCAAATTATTTGAATAAATAGGCCAGACGAGCTAGGCCTTATGCATACCAGGCTTTAGGCCCCTGGTAGGCCACCTGGCAACAAATAAGAAATAAATTTATTTTTTCTAATTTTTTTGCAATTTTCCGCGACATTAATTTTAAATAAAAATTATTTTCAATGTATTGTTGTGGTTGTCCGCAACATACAAGAAATAAATATATTATTTTTAAATTTATTACACTTTTCCGCGACAATAGTTTTAAGTAAAAAATTACTTTTGTATGCATTGTTGCGGTTGTTTACGACAACAATTTTAATAAAATACACTTACATATTGTTGTGGATGGCCGCGAAAATATTTTATTGATTACTTAATTTGTTTCGGTATTTCGCAACAATACTTTTATTTTTTATTTTAGTTATCATGAATTTTTTGAATAAGACATTATTCTGAACAATATATTTTATGAAAAATAATATATTTTTCTAACTTTAATAAATATTATTATTAATTTTTAAATTTTTATATATTTTTTATAATTGATACGAATATTCGCAACAAAATTTTATAATGTTAAATATAGTTATCTTTTTAATAAATTATATAATATATTATCATGAAATAATAATATAAATAAAGAGAAATAAAATATAGAATTTTATTGTCGCAAATTTTCGCAACAAATATATATATAATTAAATTTTTTATATTTTTTGTCACATAATTCCACAATAAAAATAATTTTCATTAAGTTTTGTTTCAAATGTCCACAGAAGTATATTAAATTAAATAATAACAAAAGTGATTCCTAAGTTTGCAAAATTTTTTTTAGTTTTGTCGAAAATATTTGCGACAAATATATGAATTTAAATAATAAATCGTATGTCTAAAAATTTGTTAGAATTGAGAATTTATAAAGAAATTACTCTTCTATTAAAAAAATATATATACTTAAAAATATTGTAAAGTTTCATCACCATTTCTTATATATTTTTTTATTTAATTATATTATATTTATTTTTAAATAGTAATAAGAATAGGTTAAAATAATTAGTATTCCCTATCACATTTTTAAAAATAATTTTTATTAAAAGTTTATAGCATTTGTCCATTTTGTGAGATTGTTGAAAAGTAAATTTTTTTATGTACGATACAGAAAATTGTGTAAGTAATATACAAATAATGAATGTACGTAGTATATTAATTTTTTTGAAAAAATGTGCCGGAGAAAAAAACAAAAAGAACAAAGCCACTATTATGCAACCATATAATTTCATGAAAGTAATACATACGAGTATATGATAGATAATATTATTTCTTTCTATATCTGATAACTCCAAATATGAACATATTCTTTACTTAACAAAACTATGTATTACTTGAATTTCGATATGAAAACCATCACAATATTTGATTTATGACATACTTTATTAATCTATTCTTCTTAGCATGATCCAGAATTGGATTGTTGTTGGCCTGGAAAATAATTTCCGGCCTAAAACTTCTCATCGGGAGTATTGGTGAGTTCCCGGGCAATTTGATGCGAATCCCCAATGGTATGCGATAAATTTAAGAACAAATCACACAAAAATAATCAAAGAAAAGACGGCGCAAACGAGTTGTATTGATTCAAGATTGATTCAATTATTCTACAAAAACAAACGAAGAAAAAATGCAAGGAAAATGTAAAGAAAAGAAGGATAATTTTGTGGATTGAGATGTGCTCCATCCTTGCTCGATTGGTTCTCTTTTTGTCTCAAGCCATCTCATTAATTTTTGCATTAAAACCTCCCCATGATTTCACCCTACTACTCTTTCATAATTGCATGTAACATCTCATTAGGAACCTCAAAAGGTCTTTTAACCTTCTTGCATTATGTATAACCATCAAACCTCCGTATTGCACTCATCAAGACTTTGTTAATGACAATTAACTCTAAGGGTCTCCACTCCACTCGTCAACCCTCCTATATCATCGATCAAGTCGGTTTTTCATTGGTTTCGCATTCTTTTGGGCTGCCACTAACATTATCCACCATCAATTTGAATACTTGTATCTGACATTAACAAAATTATATTACGTCGGCCTAATTCATTTTGATCGAATCGATCAAAAGTCCTCCAAAAACGGCCCGCCATTATTGATGGAATTTTCATGTGGCAACAATTGTTGACATTATTAACGTTTTTGGTCTTTCAAGCGGTGATTCTAGTCCAGAAAAGTTGAGGCATAAGAAGTAAGCGACGGCCCTATTCGCTCAACAAGCGACGCCTTCATCGCTCATGCTAGCGACTAGACACCTACCGCAGGGAAGCGACAACAACTCATTCCAGACAATGCCTAAGTGTCCAACCCGCAACGAAATTGTCATTCCACTACCAGCCAGCAAGGATAGCTCCGCTTAGCAGCGCTGATGCCCTCCAACCATCTGGGCAAGCAAAGAAGATCTGCGCCCCTGCAAGCCAAAGTAAACGAAGCGAGCACTTTGAGAGTTATGGCAGCGCAACTGCTTCAACATAATAACCGCCGCCAACTGCCTAACTGCTCAGCGGTTGAAACAACTTTTCAACTGCTCGCAACTGCTATTTCAACCAGTTATAAATAGGGCCAGATGTCTATTGTAAAATATATTTCGATAGAGTATACGCTCATACCTTCTTGTGCACATTTTGTAGCTGCTTTCCTACCTCCCGAGAGCTCCAACCCTGTAAGGGAGTTCTCAGCAGTAATAGCCAAAGGAGTTGATAATTTTCTTCTCCTCTGGCCGCTACTTTACTGCTTTTTAGTTTTAGTTTACAGCTTTTGTAGTAATAGCACTTTACTATTTTCAGTAGTAAGTAATGAAATATTAGTTGTTCTTCATCATTACTTCTTCCCCGTTTTCACATTCATATATGTCTGAGTTATAAAGAATCTTGAGTCGCTGAGAAAGAACAGAGAAGAATCGACTATCTAAGTCTTGTTTCACGTCACAAACAAACTCAAGGTAGTTAAATATAGTTAAGCACGTGGGAGCCTTGTCGACCTGCTTAATTACTTATTTAAATTCGATT